TTTGTACAAGATTATTTGATGAATACATATTTAATAAGACAAAAAGGGTTTGCATAACTTTCTTGTGACCCTTGAAGATATAAAGATATAAAGTGCCATAGGGAGTGTAAGGCCACTGAGTTTTTAGGAGTTAACATTAAGTGATAAAAACATTTGTAATGGAACTGAAAAATATTAGTTCAGTTGATTGAAAGTATTGTTGTACATATGTAAATATTTCATTTCCTTCTATATGAAACTATTTGAAAGCATAGTTAACAATGCATTAGTTTTCTTTAGGTTTCACGTTAAATTGGGCCAATATTATTACTTTGCGGTATTCCTATGTTAATTTATGTCATGTTCGATGTTCCAGTTTTACCGTCGTGATTTATAACATTTCTTTATGACCCGAAAAAAATGACTGAATCCAACTTAATAAATTTCCGAAAATATCAGGTCTTCTCGATTTCCATTTGAAAATTTGACATTTTTCACAATTACATGCTTTGGACAGATCTATACATAACCCCAAAGTCAATTTTTTCTGTTCAGATGCCTCATATATGATTTTCATAAAAATAAATATTGTTGTTTCATTGAGCGACCTTCAATGTAGCCATGTTGAGTCACACCAAGGAAACTTGTTATTTATTTATTTATCTACTCCTCATTCAAATAATTTAGAAAATGATGGTGATAAATATATTGGTCTGCAGTTTTATAAAAGATTTGCATATACGGATAATTTTTATGAAAACGCATATTAAAGCTTCCGTATCTGTCCCCCAGGAAAGATGATACCAAGGTCTAGCAGATGTACTGAGTATCTACTGAAAGCTAACTTTTATTATATTTTGCACAGGCTTTTCAGAAATAATTAATGGATGAAAATTACCAATTCAACTTGAGAACTCTTAGGAACAAACTTATATTTCAATTCTTTCAAATTTTTGCCAAAACAATATATGGAAAATTATCAAGAGTATAGTCTTAAGAGTGTGATACACTTTGATTTGTAAAAACCAGTTTATGTATCGTATTCAAAAAACATACTCTCAAGTGGACATCTTACATTGAAGTGAGTTTTTTGATTAACTCATAATGGATTTATATCAGGTATCGGTCAGTTCTATCATATTTTTTATAAGGTTTATGTATCTTACCATACATGAATGGTATGAAATGAAAATTATCAATGTGTGAATTTTTTGCACCATACTTTCTAAAGACAAACAAATCTTAAAGATACTCAAAGCCAAAATCACTGATTTTTCATTCCGATGCTTCATCCACTTTAACTTCACGCCTGTCTAACAACAATCCAAGTATCTTTACATGATGACCTGAAAATAGGCCTGTTCAATTGTTTTATGTGTGAGCTTGGTTTTCACAAATTTCTGACATAAATCAATGGCATAGTTTCCGCCTGAAATATGGTTATATTATTTCCCGGAGCTGCGATTGTATACACTTGAATCACAACCTGAAGGTGTTTTTGATTTATCTGTGAATCAACAGCTATCTGCTCTAAGTATTTCGTCCTTTTGGAGGACCCTGTCCTCTCTACTCGGGATTGGGTTGCAGCTGACTGTCGGAGGCATTATTACAGAGGTCATTCCCAGAATGCTACTACTTTCAGTAGTTTTCTATGCTCCTCATAAGTTTGTTTTATACAATTGTCAACATTTACAATTCTTTATGTAGCCCACTAGCATCTCTTTCCCGAAATAGGTGGAGAGAAGGTAGGTCTGGAAAGATTTCCATGGCCCCTGGTGTGGGGCGAATGTTATCGGAGATAGCGAGGCAAGCCTGTTCTGTACACTGAAGAGCTTAGCCTAAGCCGTTTAAAGTCTGATTATCACCACATATATAATAATCGTTCATTTAGCACAAGACTAATTCACAATAAAATACAATTTAAAAGGCTATTAAAAGATATCACACATAGAGTTCATATAAATAGAATTCCTCATTGGATGGAAACAAAAAAATATAAATCACATCACATGTCGTCCAAAATGAACGGAGTCAAGAATTGTAAAATACAAATTCAAATATAAGTGTCTACTCTAATAGTCAATGAATAAAGCACTATGTTATTGTGAGGAATTACAGTCAAGACGTCCTTCAACTTCGAAAATAGATGAAAATAGGGGATGTGGGCAATCTCATCCGTCAAGATCGATCGCCGTTTGAGTTTCCGTGCAAATGCCGAGATTGTAAGAGTCGAAAGATATTCAATTAGACAAATATTATATAAACATTTCAATATGTGAAAGATGTTCCAAATTGTCCTGAAAATCCTCACACCTGAACAAAACGATCATGAATGGAAATTTGTTCTGACATCTTGAAAAATAAAAAGAAAGATCCTGAACTGTTGTAATAAGTTATTACATGTGATGAAGCATGGTTATTACTTTTTACCTACGATCCAGAAACTACTCGCCAATCAATGTACTGGATGAGTGTAGTCACCATGACTGAAGAAATTTCAAATGTCCAAATCAAAATTTAAGGCCATGATGATTATTTTTTTAGACATTCACGGGACTCTATGTGTAAAATGAGTTGCTGCAGGATAAATAGTGAATACAGATTATTTTAAGGTTCTAGCCACTCTCCGTGACTGAGAAGAAAGTAAACAGTGTTGTGAAAGAACAAGAATACTCCCAAAAATCATAAAGTTACATATATAGGAGTACTTTTTTCATTTTTATTTTGAATTTATGACCAATGCTTTCATTCAATCAGGTAATTGATTGAAAATTGTAATGCACATGTAACGTGGGCTATTTTCAGTTAGTGTAAGTCTGTGAACAGAGTAATTGATATTTCAAGTTCTAGTCTCATATTCGTGAGGAATGTAATTTACAATAAAAATTGATTTAGTTTCGAAAAGAATATTAAATATTTATAAATGAATATTGCATAACTAGTCAATATATTGTATGTTGGAAGATATTCTTGCGTGATTCTCTATATAGCATATTCAAGATTATTCAAACCATTATTTTCTGAATAATGAATACTTTTTGAATATTTGAACTGCTTCCCCAGAACAGGATTCCATATTTGCATGATGCATAGTTTTCATTGAATTCAAATGCAAAAATGTATAATATTAAAAGTTCGGACGAATAAATTTTTCTTGACTTTCGACACACTTTTTGAGTATGTTTAGTGTGAGATTAGATTCAGCCTATTTAAGAGCATTTCCTCTATTACTACATCTCTCTAGTTCAATCGTCAGGAGATTTCTATCCAAACATTCATAAACTTTGGAATGGTCTAAGAACTTTTCCAAGGTTAGCGATTTTTGTTTCTTAAAATGAAAAATGGCCAAGATTGTTGACCATCATTGGATATAAATGTGTTGATTCATTTTATGTCCTAGCTCTATAATATTCTTCATTATAACTTTTTTCATGTATAGCGACGTATCATTTTCAGTTATATTTCTGAAAAATATAACCTCAGGAATATCTTTCTTCATTTGGGGCATAATTTATGATAAATGATTGTATTTAAATGCGATTATTTGGGATATCCCTCTAGTTTGACAATCTGAAATTTTGTTTTGTCTTGTCAATTCCTTACATATTCTCCAAATGCATTTTGTTTGGTTATCAGATTTTTTGTGATAAAAGTCTTTTTTACTTTCAGTAAGATATTGTTATATTCAATTTTTGCTGCATTATACTGAAATTGGGTTATTCAAAGAACTAGTAATCTAACCGTTGTATACACACGAGTAATTCATCATGCCATTTTTATGTTCACGAAAGTAAAAGAAGCATCGAAAGGAGCCAGGTTTGGTTCAGTGAAAGCTGTGAAGGCCACCAATGTGGGCCATGAATCAGATGCGCGAGTACCAAAATTATTGATATGGAACAAGATTCTGTACTTTTAGAGGACACATGTACAAAATTGGGATATATAACAGAGATCCTAGCTACAAAGAGACAGAGACCATTCAACAATGTTTTTTGCACATGTGAGGCAGTGGATCATAAGAGGAAAATTAAAGAGCAATGTGTAACATGAAAAGATGGAAGGAACAAGGCAATAAGCGCAATAAGGGAACTGTGTTTTCCAGAGACTTGGAAGAAATTGACAAGGCATATAGCTAACAAATGATCCCTATACAGTTTTTCAGAAGTGTTACATGGTGAACGTTCGGATCAGCTGGAAGAAGTGATTTTCTTACTTGGTCGGCAATAGTGCTAAATGACTGATGTTATTCTTAGAGCGCGCTATCACTCTATTACGGTTCTTGATTAAATTCCCTCTGCTAGCCAGGCGGGTAACCTAAAAGTTCATAGTCTATGTAATAATACATATCCTGCCGTATATTTAGGAGAAATATATCATGTTTTTAATGATGGAGTGTTTGGGTTGTCCTCATAGCACATACTACCAGAAGGTATAAAAACCTTCATAAGGGCCGTGAAGTATTTTGGTTTGAAATATTTTTTAATTTTCTGCATACTTTAATTTGTATTCTTTTTTTGTTTACTCTGTGGTCATTTTCATTTTGTATCTTGATTAGTTTATTCGTTTTATTGTATTTTCATTTCACGTTTTACTGAGATATGAATAGATAAATTTGATATTTTAGCTATTCATTCTAATTTTATTTGCTCTTTCATATATTTCGAATCACAGTAGAAAAATATTAGACAATGGAAGTCTGAACTAATAAAAATCACCATGAAACATTGTCAACCATTTTCAAACAAACATGAGAAAGTTTCATTTCTCATGACTTGAATTTTATTCATTTTTTCTTGAATGAATGTGTGAAATCTACTGAATTTGTATCTATTTCTACGAAATAAGTATTATGATGATATTTATTTGTGTCATTTACTATTAACGCCCGTCCTAACTTGTCCAATCATAAAAATCATATCTTAATGGCTACATATTTGATATTGAATATACTCGATATTCAGAATGTTGGCATCCGATTTTGCATAACTCATAGTTCTACTCTATTATATCATGTACAATACCGATAGAGTGGTTGATTCCGCTGAAAACTGATTACTATTGAAATCATCATCGCTTTCGTCAACTTTCTTATCGCAGTGAGTGGAATGCCGAACCAAGTGAGTGCTGCTTTCTTCTTCTGAGGAACTTGACGAATCCTTCAAGAGGCAGCATTGAAACAAAAATTCATAATTAGAATATGTATAAGAAATATTTTTTCATACTGGACATTCATGAGTTTTCACTTCATTTAAATTATCAAAGATTCTCAAAGAAAATCAATGAAGGCGAATTGTCCGTGAAATGTTACTGCATTGTATGTAACTTCTGGATAACCTGCCTGTATAATGAAAAACAGTTAATTGTCAGACTGTCACTAAACAGTTTACAAAACAGTTACTCAAATCCATCCTTTTGTGAAGGGCGGATTTGAGTTCATCTAGTTCCTTGGATCTACTGTGGCTGTCAGTGAATCTGATAGACCTGTGTATGAGAGAATAGATTTGTGTATGACACAGTAGATCCAAGGAACTAGACGAACTCAAATCCACCTTTGGCCAAAACGACTATCCTCAGTCCCAAATCCAAAGATCCATCCAACTTCAGCAAACCTGTACCCCACATCTGAAATAGCCCGATGAACAGTCGGACCACCCAAAAGCTTGTCTTCCTTATATTCAAGAAGTTACCGACAAAGTGAGCCAAATTCTGGTGAGGCACGATATGAGAACAGTATTCACAGTCAACAATCAAATTTACACTTTTCTACCTAAGGAATTGATACCCAATAAGGCACAGGACATGTACGAAATACCATGTTCCACCTCTTTCCAACCACACAATAAGCTTTTAAAATACCAAAACTATTGCCACCGAAAAAACTCTCCAGACCAGAATAATCGGCGAAGCAACTTAAATTGAAAAACGTCCAAACTGCCGCAACAAACGAGATGGTTCACCAAAATGACCTCATTCATGAGATCATTACTGTCACGCCGTACATTTCACAACATTGCACACCTCGCTTCTGCAAGCCAACCCCACCTTCGCTCCCACTACCGACCCGCTCCTCCACTCGTCCAGGTACATACATTTTAAACCAGAGACTGTGAACCCACTATTGACGCTTCGGAGTAGGTAGATTGAGACCCGCCGTCAAGTCACAAAAACCTTACAGCGTGTAACTACCTGAGGAGCAGGCAAATTGAGATCTCAGTGTAGTCATAGCTTCTTGAAAATGGTTGCACCAGACTTAAATAGCAGACTGTGCTTTTATCTTCATGGGTCTACTCAAACTGAACGTTTTATCTTCTTGTTTGTTCTTTTATACGGTTAGAACGCCTTAGTGCAGGTATTTGTCCTCTCCTTTCATCCCTGGATGTCTCTTTAAATTTGCCTGTAGTTGGGTTACATATATATATNAGGCAACTGACATAAAATATTGTATGATGTGAGACCAATATAAGAAAAAGTACACGACGGTGTACGCTGTTGGGTACGACTACAAGTTTGGGGTTAGTGTACGGCGGAGATCAGCAGCAAATTGACTGCAGACGCCCGTTTTGACTTTTGTGAACGCCCGTGTACGTGTAGCACAGTATTTCTTATGGGCGGCTTGAGTTCGCTGGAACGCGACTGCTATTGTGTGGTCGATCCGACCGCAAAATGTGGCTCGTGTACAGGTGCTCTAAGAGTTTATTGAAAGTTCGCATTGCCCAGCACAAAAAACAGATACAGCCAGGAGAAACTAGCAAATCTGGAATAGCAGAGCATGTTTGGACTCATCAACATAACATCAAGTGTGCTCAAGCTGAAATCATCCACAAGGAGGAACACTGGTTGTCCAACAACGCATGTAGCCAAGCTAGCGTGGAGATACCTAACATATGGAAACATCTAATCAAGCGGAACACGACCAACTCCCGCCAAACGGTCAGCTCCCGCTAAAACCAATGAAGCGGAGAGAGGGAAGAGGGGATAGGTGAAAGCAGTCGAATGACCTATAAATAGTCAGATCTCGAAGGAATGAGTCCAGTTATCACCTGAAAATGATTGTGGGTACTAAATTCAATTTCATATTTTCAATTTTCATTTTTTGTTAATGATTTTTTAATTTTTCAGCTCGTGTTAATAGTTCAATTTTTTTGGTTGTTGCTTGTATGTCATTTCATTGAAATTTCAGCTTTTAACTTGAATAAATTGTTGTTTCAGCTAATCTTTTTATTTTTTTCACAGATTCTTTCAGGGATATCAAATTATATCATTTCAGACAATGGAAGTCCGAACTGACAAAAACTATTTTTTTTTAAAGAAAGGTTTTGTCTTTCTACTTCTCCATCTTGATACAAATAAAAGAAGAAAGCAATCAATTTCAAAATTCAGCTCTGTACAAAGATGTGTAGATTAAGCAAAGGAGTAACTTTCAGGCACAACCTGGAAAAAAGTCCTCACGAAACAGCTATTTTCATTCAAATTGTGAAATAGGAGAAAGTAACATTATAAAAAAAAACACTCAATTTGTTCATAAAGTACGAATTCTTGTCACAGAATGAGTTGAATCTACCCATGTCATCGATGACAGTACGTAAATAACATTCATCCGCTTATTTGATTGAATACCAGCCATAGGAATTTTGTTTAAAGTGAAAGGTATACTTTTAGGACAGAATAATTTTTGGGAAAGACAGGTTTTGGCTTATTGTTTTTAAGGTTTAAAGTGTTTTATATGTACTAAACAAATATTTTTTTTTACTAACAATAAACTGCAGGCAGTTCATATTTCATAAATAGTAATTATTAAGCGTAATTATAAATTTCAACCTCAAATTGGGAATTGCTACCTCATGTTCCATATATTGGGATATTTAAATCGACATATTTTGTAGTTGGAATATGGAAAATGAAATATAATGTATTTACAGAATAATGCTGACAAACTTAATGAAACCTACCCAAAATCGTAATTTGGGGTCACATTCTAGTGAATTTTTCATTGAAAAGTTAGGTTATTGAGAGCTGTAGCAACATAGTTACATTATCAACTTATATCAAAGCCACAAATTGATGACGCATGTGTAATCTTTCATTGTCTCAACTGAGAACTCAAAATGAGTAACTTAAACATTGCATAAAATATATCATGAAAAAACAAATAATTATGATTGAAGAAACAAATTATAGAGAGTAGTAACCAATCACATTACAAGTACATTTTTGATAGTTGAATCAAAATTGATTTACAATTTTACTTGTTACGGCTTTTGATACTCATTTTGATAAAAATGATGTCAATGAAACAGAGATTTTTTATTATATTTTGCACACTGTCATGTACATATACATACCTCTCAAAGTGAAACCTAACCACACTTTCCCAGTTTGACATAATTACTCATTTTTTTTACTTGCGCTCACATAAACAATTCAATTTGTTCAACTCATCATTATTTATATTCAAACACTAACTATGTTAAAATGTTACTGCACAACTTAATTTTGAATAAATGAACAAAAATGGTCAGTTGAGTCCAGCAATGCATTCTTAGTTTATTTTAGCACCACTGATAAAACATATTGCGAGTCGAAACATCGCTGTCTGGCGATGAATCATGAATGCTTTGTTTTTGGACTTTGTTTTCGAATATTTGCATAGCAGTGAAAGCTGTCCGTCATTGTCGAAGCCTTGGCTTTGTAACAGACAGACTTTGGGAGCCTCGTTTACCTTTGTCGATTCCATAGTTAGGGTCTTCATGAGAAGAGATGTCATATTTTTTGTTCTTGAAACGTGTAGTCACCGAAACATGCACTGCTAGATGATGTTCAGGCATACATGAAGAATAGAAAAGACAAGTGTGCTATCGTCAGCAAAGCAAACTACTGAATTTAAAGTCTTTTCTAATAGATCGTTGATGTATGGTAGAAAATGGGTTGGATATAATATTGATTCCTAGGGTACACCTATGCTGATGGTAAAGGTACCCAAGAGAGAACTATCGATGGTTACTACGAGCAAAGATGATTTGGTAAGCCACAACATCGAAGTTCAATCATTAATTTCTCATGACGGACACAATCAAAGGTCTTGGAAATATCCAGCACAATAGCTCTAGACTTCTCCGTGTTTCTTGATTACACATTTCCAAACATATGTTAAGAAGGTTGATTGTGGGTCTTTGCCTCCGAAAGCTATTTTGATGATTGCTTAAGATGCATTCCACATACTCAAGAATGTGTTGATTAACTGTTTCCTGAGTCAGTTTTTATATCACTAATAGTAAAGTATCTGATCTACAGTTAGGAGCTGAAGAGCCTTCAAAACGCTGATGCAAGTTTATTGGCGTATTTTTCATTTCACAGCCCTATATCTTCTAAATAAGTGAACTAGTTTTCAAAAGTGAAACAGAAATGGATAGAGAATCAAAAGGTTTTCTGACATTACTCGATCCCCCCAAAAACTTGAGGAATAACACCCCCGCTCACGTTCACTGTTTTGCAATGGTTTTTAGACCAAATCTTGTTCCACTCACATAGTATTTCTTGCCATCTCTTGTTGAAGGTGTGATGGGTCCTGACACATCTGTTGAGATTATTTCTAGAGCTCTCCGTGCTCTCCTTTCTTCAGGTAGGGGTTTGAGTCTAACACGTGACTGTTTTGCTTTCAAACAAACTTCACATACGTTTTTTGATGGATATTTAGATGAATGGCCCATTCGTCTATGGATCAAGTTCTGATTTTCTACTATATTAGCACTAAAAAGTATTGGTTTGAAAAATAACATACAGGTTTCCCCTAAGACTACCCTCCAAAATTGTTTTATTGTTCTCTTTTTCACATATTTTAAATTTTCCATTTTCGAAGATTACTTTGAATCCTTCGTTTTCTATTCGTTTTACCGATAGTGGATTATAGTCTAAATAATTACTCTGATATACATCTTTCAATTTGAACTTTCTTCCTTCAGTGTCTTCTACATGAAAACCTTGATCGCAGAACCTTTCTTGGCAACATTAATGTTATAATTCACAGATTTTATGTCACATAAAAAAATTGTCAGTTTTGTTTACCAGATGTTTGCGTCTCCAATCAGGCGGATAGCTCTGGATGGAATCCAGCAGCTTCAGGGTATGTTTGGGGGCGGAGCTCCATACAAGAGAACAATACTCCAAAAAGGTCTGATCTGAGCGTTATGAAGCATCAAAAGTTGCTGAAATATGTACTGTTTTCTGGTTCGGAACAGTGTTCCAAGCTTTTGAGAAGCAGCCTTTGCAATTCCAACAACATGATTGTACCCAGATAAATTGGTGTCCATTTTAACCCCCAACCAACTTATGGAAGCAGAAAGCGGAATTGTTTGATCTGACATTATTCGATTCGGAAACATTTACCTTTTTGTAGAAAACCGATGCCTGAGTTTTTGTGGCATTGAATTGAACCTGATTACTTTCACCCCAATTCGAAATTACTTCTAGATCCTCATTAAGATATTGCACCTCCTGCTGCCGGTGAAGATGTGCATCTGCAGCCAATGTCCTGGAACCCAAATGTAATGAAGAGACAAGTGTGCTGTCGTCAGCAACGCAATAGATTGGATTATTGGTTTTTCCAATAAGTCGTTGATAAACAATAAAAAGAGGGTTGGAGACAATTTGGATCACTGGGGAACACCACCGTTGATGGTGAAAGTATTCGAGAAATATCAGGAAGCTGAGGAGCCATACACAAAAATGATTCGACAAGCCATAGCATCGAAGTTTGGCCAACAAACCCTCATGCCACACACGGTCAAAGGCCTTAGAAATATCAAGCGCAACAGCTTTTGATTCTCTATGTTTTTCGATTGTGTTATTCCAAATATGGGTAACATACGATAGAAGGTCGCCTGTTGATTTTCGTTTCCGAAATCCATATTGATGATCACTCAAGATGTTAACGCATTCCAACTTGCGATAAATGCTATTTCATCAGGAACTGTATTTTCACAATCAGCTACATTCGTACTGTATCTGCACTCATTACGTTTGTGTCCTGGTTTGCCACACTTATAACATTTGAAGGGAAATTTTGACACATATTGTTCTCGTCCTCTCCCATTTGACGTAAATTGTCCTCTTCTTCTACCGTCTGCCAGAGACTGTCCTCGTCCCCTGCGTCTTCCAAGAAAAGAACCTCTGTAGCTATTAATAAAAGCAACAAAATCATCTCCTTGATTGTTTTCTTGTCGAATTGCTTCCTGCAGTAACTTGCTTTTTAACAAATAATACAGTAACATCTTTGGGATTTGTACTAAACATTAATCAATTGAACTTGGTAATGCTTGATAACTGTCTGGCATTGACTTATTATTACAGGTTATTCTAGATTACCTCCACTAGCTTTCAGATCTGTAACAGTTTTTTTTTACATCTCCAATGAAATTACTTAAGCAGCCTTCAGTATATTTTATATTTCTTAGTTTCTGCTGCAGGTAAACTTGGATTGACAATTCCCTTACGGGTATAGGTGTTTTTCAATGTTTCATACATTTATATAGCTGTTTTCTTATTCTTCACTGTTTCTAAGATATTATCAGCTAGCCACTGCACTATAATGTTCCTAGCCTTTGCATCTTTCTAAATTGTACTAGTTCCTCTTGGTCCCTTGGAGCATCTTCTTCCAGTACTTTCAATGTATCACTTTGTTCCAAGAATAGTTTCAGATTCAGATTTAGGATCGCCATGGTTTTTCTACTTCCAGGTACTTCCAGAGATGAATAAATGTCTCCAATGCCTGCATGCTAAATAACTTTCAGTTAATTCCGCTCAGATTTATCAAGATCTGGGCCCATAACCTGTTGAATGCAGAGTTTTAGCATTCCACTTTTACTTCATGTACTAATGATTACTTTATTTCATAGATATTCATTACATCAACTTTAAACTACACATATTTTTATACTATAACCAAACAGAGTATATGCTAAATTTAACCCCGCTTATGTTAACATGTAACTGCATAAATTAATATACCATTCCTCATTGAATTACTCGTGAATTTAATTTTATTATGTGTGTATGTATATTAGGGGCTTGTACCCGTAAATTAATAAATACATAATTATTGTCTACTGAACTGAGATTGGCCCGTTATTGAAAAAGACATTCTAAAAAGCCTGTTGCCTCATTTGATGTGGATAACCTCGTTCTCTAGCATTTCTCTGCTACCTGCCTCTACCACTCTTAATCAAGAAATAAAGAAAAAATAATGACTTTATTTGAAGAACCTTTGTTTCACCTTTCGTTTGAAGGGTCATGCTGAACTAAAAACTCTGGGAGTAGTTGAACCAGAATGATGATGATGCCTAAACATCTTGGTCACAAGAATCTACTGAAATGGAAGATATCGCGTCTTGTTTTTTATTGAGAGATGTTCGTTTTTTACTCAGATTATTTCTTTTTCTTCACCCAAATTATTAATTTCTTGATGGAATTAGTGCACCATCTTGATATGGTTTTCAAATCATTTTTCTGATTAACGATTTCTGTGTGGTAAGTGACGTATAAGCAGAGTTGCTAAATTCTTTTGTAAATATCATAATTTTGGTCCAAAATATAAAGTAACTTACCCGCTGTAATTTGTTGAATTCTGTTTGTTGGGTTAATGTCTTATCTTGCATTAAGTATTTCTCTCCTGGTTTCATGATCAATATATCAGGATTGAGAGATTCAATAGCAGCCATATCAATTTCTTTTCCTTTAGTTTCCCCTTGTTCGAACCATTCCACAGTAGCACACCGTAAGTCATTATTGATTGCAGCAACAATGGCAGAATGAACCCGACCTGAAAAAAAATTAAAGCTTCAACTACTTTCAGGACTATATTGGAAAATTCTTCCTTGGAGAACATTCTTTTAAAGAAAATCTAGGATGAGTAATGGTAGTACAGAACTCTGCAGTTCTGTAAGCAGAACTCTGTCAGATCAGCCATTGACCATTGTTTCTGAGAGCTTTGTGGGAAGAAAACTGGTCAATTTATTTATTTGTACCTGAAAAAAGTTGACTTAATTGATAAATAAAAGTAACAAAAAAGGGGTGTTTGAAATATTCGTTTTTGAGGTGTATTTTTGTAATGCATTTTTTCTTTGAGACGGAAAACGATACTCTTATTATTGATATATTTGACTTTTATTTCAATACGTTGTACACGAGAAACAGAATTTTTATCTGCAACAATGGTGTACAAAACAGCTGAACATGTAGAAATGATTTTTATTCTTGGTAGAGAATATCGGTGTTCGTTAAAAACAATATAGGAATGTAGGCTTTCATGACTGGCGTCAATGTTTTGGTTGGTTTTGCCGTGGTCTTCTTTGGTTACAATCACCAAAAGTTTCAACTGCAACTGCGGCAGTCATCTTCAGTGGCGTGGTCCAAGTACTCTCCTTGACGTGTCAACAGTTGACAGGTCAACTTGAGTATTTAACCAGAGTCACCCGGAGAGAAATGTAAGTCACGTGTACATTCGCCAACTAATAGCAACATTTCAAGAAACTGGTACTGTTACAAATAAAATAGGGATCAACCAAGATTATTGGATGAAACAACGCAAATTGAAGTATTCGGACAGTATGCAATGATTCATACTTTATCGACTTGTCAGGCAGCTACAGCAACCGGATTATCCCGCGAATCTGTAAGAAAAGTACTTAAATTACATGAATTTCATTCATATAAAATGTAAATTCTTTAAAAACTTGGTGACCCCGACAGAAGAATTGAATTTGGTGAAATGATGATAGCTAGAATTATCGCAAAACCTCGGCTTTAGTGACGAGTGCACTTTTGGGATGGTTTATTGGGAGATGCAATTATTGGTATATTATTTATAGAAGAAATTTTGAATGGCGAAATGTATGCTCACATGCTAGCAAGATCTATCAAACCTCGGATAGTTCATTATGTAGTCCCAGTAAGACAATGATTAAATGATAAATATGCTAATCAATGGATTGGAAGAAAAGGTCCTATTGAATGACCCGGACCTTTCTCCTCTTGATTTCTTCCTCTGGGGCCTAAATCTGTTTGTTACTAAGACGCAACCACTCGATAGAGCAACTGAAGGAAAGAATAATGCAAGAATGCCGAGCTATAATAGATTCTATTATTGTCTTGAAAAGAATGGAAATTACTTTTACATTACATAATTTTTAATTAATAATAGAAAATACAATTTTTATTTAAATAAATGGTGCTTCATTTAATAAACCAAAAACTATTACATTGAATATAGCTTTGTAGGGAACCACTGGAGAGCTTTTCTGAAGAGCTTTTAGAAAAGGTATCACAAGTAGGGGGTAGCCATTTAAGACCATAAAGTTGGGGTGGCTGGGGGCGAGGGGGTAAGTGAAAACAAGTTAGTTATCACACCATTTTGTTACCCCCTTCCTATGATGGAAGTTGTTTTCTGAGATTTTTTTTTATTTCATTCGGTTGCTCAGATAAAGCCATTGAAAATTTTCAAATTGTCATCATGTAGCTCATAAGACAGTTTTTGTTTTGTCATAAGTTGTGAATTTGCAACTGACATTGAAGAAGTTGGGAAATGAGCATTGGAATATTTCCCGCAGATTATGTAAGTGAACTAATTTGTTTGGTTTCTAGGATATAAAATTAACTATCAATACAGAATGTTTTTTTGTATTCTATAATTCATGTAGCTGAATGAATTCACTGTGAAGAATTGGATTTTTACAATCGTTAATTTTCACTGAACATTCGTACTTCGTATTTATGTTGTGTCATATGGAATATAAATTCAAATAATGATATCCCACAGATTTCTTTATATGAAATACCGAGTTGAAAGTCTTGCAGGTACACCAAATCTATTCTTCTCAATCGACAATGAATCTGTCAATGTCGATGCTTCACTGTTATTTCAGCGGATTGTAGCAGCGATGATTGACAACAAAACTTTAATTTCTTTACTTCATGAACGTATGAGTTTATTGCTGCATACATCAGAACAGTCTACAACTGATCCTCCTGAAAATGAATTCATTATTGATGGTGGATGTATTTTGCACAAAATCACTTGGTATAAAAATGTCACATTTCAGCAAATTTTCGAAGATTATGCAATTCGAAGATTATCAATGGAGGTAAACACTTTGATGAATTCAATTTTGAAAGATTCAATTTTGAGAAACGAAGTTGAAAATTTTCTATAGATCCCACTCAACAGGGATGTTATAGACGCTGGNTGAAGACAAAACAAAAGCTGTCGTATGAGCTACATATATGAAAACGGCGCCGACCTTCAAACATATCCAAATCGACAATATTTCTAACAAATTATTGAGTCTTTCCAGTTGCAAAAAATTATGCATTGTTGTTGTTAGTTATATGGACGCTTTATAATCGTTCACTTATATGGAAAATATGTGTCACAAGTATACGTGTAGCTCCCGAGCGCCACCAAAATGAAAAAGACTCAACTAGAGTATACGCCAGTGTATAACAATGAAACTGATAACTGGGTGTCTATCCAAAATTTTCTCATATAAATGATAGGGAACCTATCTGCCATACAAAGTGAAACAATATGATGTCCCTATATGTATGCCTTCATTCTTGTTCATACATGAATGTTTCAAGTAAAAATTAATGAATAACTATTTATGATTTCTAATAACTTGGTACTTCCAATTCAAAACTGGACCTGTCTTGAAACCTGTCTTGAAACCTGTCTTGAAACCTGTCTTGGGTCGCATGTCACAAATGTTTTTTATTTGTTACTACCAAGAACATTTCATGCAGAACATATCATGAGTAAGTAAATAGAGACATATATTGATCATGCATGAATGTTTTCCCTAATAATTAATGATTAACTGGATTAACATGCTCCCCTTGAGTGGGTATATGAATCCCCCCTAAGTTGTATATATGGTTATGAATAACAGCCAACAAGTGAGCCATTCATTTGTAGGAGACCATTAACATTAATATATACCAACAAAAAAAAAATTTATTGAGATTTTGTATCTTGTATATCAAACAATGGAAGTCCCAACTAATAAAATTTAAATTTTCAATATCATTCGATGATTTTTGACTCGGTTGTCGTTTTTCCATTTCAATACTAAAGATGAGTGGAGCAGAATATATCAATAGACGTCAAACTGATACCCACATGATGTGATTATTAAAAGTACTACTTTCATTACAAAAAGTTAATTGTACATTTCCATTAGAAAGGGTTCAAAGTTGTCAAACTACTTGAAGACGCCAAACTGAGGGCGGTATGATGAATAATACACATTGTCAAGGAATGTGAAATTTCACAACTGTGTGAAAACTATTTTCCGGGTTTTTTGATCGAGGTCTGTAGGTTTTATGCCTGACGTTTTATCTACTACGGCGGTAGATATTGTCCAAGTTGGTGCTCGAGCTGTTGTTACCGTTCGTTTCGACCGCATTAACTGAGTTAATGCGTATTGAAAAATGCGATTTTTGAAAAATGCTCAATTGGAAATTCAATTCAGTGTGCCTGAGTGTTTCGTTGAACACTCATAATTATTTAGTGCCAAATTTATTCCATTTGGCTGATAGCCAAATTTATTCCATTTGGCTGATACACACTATACAGCGTGTCTAAACGGAAACGTTAATTTTTTTTTATCTAGGTCTGAAGACCTGTCAGAGTCACCTCCATGTATGACATACATCGTATGTTATCGATTTTTCGAGTCATGAATTTTTAAATGTTTTTTAAGGACGGCTTAAGTAATTTTTAATTTTTCTCGAAAGTTCTTCGGTTTTTTGTTACGGAATGATCAAAGAGTACTTATCTNCTGTCTTGGGTCGCATGTCACAAATGTTTTTTATTTGTTACTACCAAGAACATTTCATGCAGAACATATCATGAGTAAGTAAATAGAGACATATATTGATCATGCATGAATGTTTTCCCTAATAATTAATGATTAACTGGATTAACATGCTCCCCTTGAGTGGGTATATGAATCCCCCCTAAGTTGTATATATGGTTATGAATAACAGCCAACAAGTGAGCCATTCATTTGTAGGAGACCATTAACATTAATATATACCAACAAAAAAAAAATTTATTGAGTAATAGAAAAATATCAAACTTTCTTATACTCCAATTTCAAATTTTTATGGTACTTTGAGTTCATTTCATTGAATAAAGACTAGACATTGTTAATTCTTGGGTGAAAAGAGAAAATTATTCAACTAAGAATTGAAAATAAAAATATCAGTGCAAAAAAAAACAAAAAAAATGATTATCTGGTATATCACTAATAGTTCGTAAAAAAATGCCCTCTCAATAAAACGGATTACAGGTTTTCTGTACTTGAAAGTCACAAGTATTAGTCAGGATTGATTGAAGACAGAAGATGAATTTTCCTGACCAAATAAAACCAAAACTATGTACTTACCATCAGTCCTCTTTATGTTTATACTGGAACCCACTTGAAGAAAATCTGATCTATCCATAACTTGGCAAAGACTATAAATTATACTAAAAAATACAAAGTTAGGATAAAATTGGTTAAGAAGAATACCCTACAACCAAATTATTGTCAACTCTTTTTCTGTTCCTAAATAACTGACAGTTTTCAGTTTTTACAACCCATTTACTGACATTTCTGACATCTGATATATCTGACAAACTGAAAACTGACACAAATATCACAGCACAGAAGAGTAAACAATCAGAGAAGAGACACTCGAGAACAGAACACCATAAATAACTACTGTAGTTAGGGTGTTCTGTGACTCGAGCGACCTCGACATAGATGGCCGACGAGATTTATCCTCTGTTTTGCACTAGATGTCTTGAATGAAAGCTCAAGTTGAAGAGAGATGGCAAATCTCATCAGTGGTCGATGTGGAAGCTTCACTTTGCAACCAACTATCTTGGGGAGTCTCGTTAATCTTTAATATTTGAGGACTGAGTTCTCTGTTGATCTCATAGATGGCGACTTCGTAATGGAATACGTCATCGCCTTTATTTACTGAGCTTATTTATTGAGCCCAAAAATGCATTTTTGGTTCAGTTCCGCACCAGTGATGAGACCTATGAAGAGTTGAAACAGTGCTGTCTGTTGTTGGATCATACACTTTGCTGTCACATTATTCTGTTGTTCACTAATGTAGCTGGCAGCATGCAGTTTCTGAAAAAATTTGTAACTATTCTTTCACCGCAGTGACCGCTCCAGTAGCATCAATGTGTAACTATCCCGTTGTACTAATTGGAAAAATATACTGATAATCGCCTGAAGCCTGGTTAGTTGAAAGATATACTTTCCTGAAATTCCTTAAGTTATCAGTCACCAGAGCAACCGATCTAAAAGAATTGCCGAGCCTGCGATACAAGATCGAGGATTTCTGTTCATCATTGTTGGTGACATTTTATTTGGTGTTTTGTTTGGGATTTTTCTATGTACTCGTACTTGTCAAAACGAAAAAAAAGAGGTGTCATTCAAGAAGAGTTCAAATGAAAAGCGAGAAGAAATAGTACGATATATTTAATCTGGAATTCATTCTTGTATATCATTATGAACATTTCCAAAATCTGGATATAGTTGAAAAACTTACCAAAATGATGTAGATGAAAAAAACACATAGGTATAATTTTTGCCATTTTGGTGAACCAATGAATTTCAAGCAATTATATATCAAATCAGTTGAACTTACTTGTAATGAGAAACATAAGATTTTGTCTTTGCTGAGGTTTTACAAATAATGTAATACGATATGATATTTCAATCTGTTTAAATATGTCTGTTTAAAATCTGTTTTTCCGTTAATCAGCTATCGCCCCCATACGAACGACAACTCTCAGAAGTTGAGAAACGAGCTAAGGACTAACGAGGTCTTACCTTTTAACGTGTGATTCCTAACACGGTTGCAGAATCATCCCAGCTTCAACCAGATAAATTATCTCGAGAAAAATACCATGAATGTTAAAAATTAGGTACATATATGCCGAAATATAATTATGCTGATTTCACTTTCTACCACTGTCAGTGTTACTTATAAACAAAGCGCTACCAAAGTTTGACGTATGGGATTCCAAATCCGGTTGAGCGATACCGCCTCCTATTTTCTATCATAGTTGTTTATGGTATGTTTATGGATTTCTTTGGCTTCCAGTACACGCCGACTGTGATATCCATGCACTAACTGCGTGTTCTGCTACTGCCGATTTGTCTATTTGACCTAATGAATCTTTTGGTGGTACCGAAATAAACTTTTCCGCAAGTGCATGGTATACGATACACCTCCGCAGCTGATAAGGGATCTCTTTTGTCTTTGGCAGATCTCAGGTTTTGACCCTAGGGATGTACGGTAGAAATGCACATGCAATCGTTTGAGTTTCCTCCGTATTTTGATTTGTACACTGTATCCATTCGATCTTAAAGCCACTTGAAGATGATTCAATGAGCCTTTTTCCTGAGAATAGTACAGCGAACGTGTCACGAGAGGCAGCACTAGTAGTAGGGACACACATAAATTATTCACATGTAAAACAGTGTTATTTCTGTAATATTAATTTATTGTTTAAAAATGTAAATCTGATATAAAAAATTATTTTATGCTAGTTTAATGCCAACAAAGCATTGCTGTTTTTGAATTGTACGTCGGATAACAGTGCAAAAAATAAATAAATATTTATATGTATGCTCTAAACATGAAATGAATAGTAAATTTTTCATAGTTAATTACCACTGATTAGAATGAGATATAACCTCAATCATTCATTATATTATATTCATTCATTATTTTTAATTAAATTTATTTCATTACCTACCATCTATATTTGATTCATATTTCACTCGGAAATAAATAGTGAAATTCATAATTATTTTAAATTTTTTATTACAGTTTGAATCTACCGCTACTCTTATACTAAAGTCTGCATACTAACCTGTCTATTAATTCACTTTTTTTTAGTTACTTTTAAATTACGGCATGCAAGCAAACGTTTCAATGTTACAACATTGTTATCCTTTACAGTGGCAAATATCAGTTTTGCTCCAGGAACATCTTCTTCTGTTAAAAACATTCTTTTTTAATTGTACTTTATCATATGTTTATATGAGGATTAGGCAGTGTTTGTCCCTACCGAACTACTAGCGCTGCTAGTGAGTGATTTTTCGTACTTCAGGATAAAGGTTCATTTCTCTTGTAGGTGTTCCGGGTCACATATTCTACGGACACGCTCCGTCAGGGTGTTGATAATTTACCGCTTTTGACTTGGATGGTGGTTCGAAAGTGCATGCAGATCTATCCTTATGTGTCGGTTTTCGGTACATATGTCGTGCGTTCCACTAAGCGCTCAGAATTATCAAAATACTCCAATAACCGTTCCACGTTCCACATAATGACCGCGGTCGTTGTGGTCGCCTCGAAAACGTCACGCATGACGTCATTACTCTCGCTCACGGCAAGCTCACAACGACCTATCTGAATAGATGGGTCGAAGTGGACGTTGAGGTTGAGAATATTGCGGCGAATTTTTGAAATATGACATAAATGTCATGTGCCATTCGTAATTCATTTCTGATTTCTGAACTTATTCCATTATTCAATCTCATAAATTATCAATGGAATAATTACTTACACAAAATGAAGTAAATTTAAGAGTAGAATAAATTTAGAATATAATCCAAGTGTGCAATTAGACAAGACATTTTCAAAAGTTGCAGTGTATTATGAGATAGAAAATCATGTACCTGAAATGACTTGAATTCTTCATTTAAATAACGATGAAATACATTCTCATTATCAATAACACGTAGCCTGAGTTTTCAGTTTTCACAATTATAATTTTGTAAAGTTGCATTCCCCTCTTCATGTGAACTAGTTTCTGGAGCAGTATTGCGACGCATATACAAATCTCTAATTGCCGTATAAGACATTTTGATCATATTCAAACTCAATTTGTTTAATATTTCAGACTTCCTTTTAATATGAATGAAGTTAGCATGCAATTATTGAAATTAATTGTTAAGGTGTTAAGGTTTACGAAACCTCATTAAAACATCAACTTCGTTTTTTCAACCTCGCCATTTGTAAAGTTTACATGAACACCCAAAACGTTCTATGATCAATTCCACTTGAGTTTACGACAGTAACGCTCACAAGCAAGTGGAACGGAAAAAACTGCGGTCGTCAGCGTGATCGTTGTGAGCGCTTAATGGAACGGACAGTTAAATAAACAAATCTGTTTTAAAATAACAATGAGTTGTCATTTTTTTTGCATTCCTTTTTTTATTGTCTGTGAACTGCCGTTCCTGTAATTGGCTTTTTGACAGAGACAAACGTCAAAGTTTGGTAGCACTTTGTTTATAAGTGATACTGACAGTGGTTGAAAGTGGAATCAGCTTTTACCAGTAAATTATAATTTCAAACCATATAACGATTTTATTATGTGACTTTAAATAATCTTCTTTGTATCATTGAGGAGTTAAAACCTTTTTCAATGTGGTAACTTTGTTTTATTTTATTGACATGTTTTAACTGTTTAAATGTAACATTCTTTTCGACACGGCCATCCTCACCAACAGTAAGTTGAGCCTTTTTGTAACAAATTTATATCATTGCATCACTTTTTTATAGTTTTTCCTTGATAATGATGATAAACTTTATCGAAATATTGAAATAACTTGTGTTATAAAAGTACACTTCCGTTCTGCTGATCACCCAAAGATAGTTCCTAAGTTTTGTTTCTGAAAAATAATTGACTGATAAAGATGCAAAAAAGTGAATCGAATCAAATTACTTCAGGAAGTTCTGATTGTTATTTATATTCGGCATCGATTGCTAACAAGTTTGTCTGAATTTTTATCATTCACATAATTTCGACCTGAACTCCGATCTATTCAATTATTCCTCTCCACTTCAGATAGAATCAATTTGTTTTCTTCACGAATATATTTTCAAATTCATACTCATCGTCAGTTGTTGTCAAATTTTTCCAATATCATTTCTTTTTCAACTCGTCATATTATTTTCATGTTCCATTATTTAAATTTTTTATTGAAAAGTTTTCTTCCGTTCCGTTGCTTCAACTCCTATTTCTTTCGAGTAGAACGTATCTTGCACCCTATAAGCTATTTGGCAAGAATATGTTTATCATTTTCGTGATCGGAGGTACTCAGGGTCAAAGACGTCCTGAGCAATTAGGAGGCATGTTATTAACATCTCATTTATATGTCAAAACCTCGCAAACGAACTTAAAATGCCTTAAATTAGCCACAATCGAACATTCATCAACCAGGCACTTGAATAGCTGTTTAAATGTTTAACTGCCGTCTTGACCTCTCGCTCTCCAGTGCCTTCAGACGACCTCGCCGAGGGCGGCCATCATTTCGCAAAATTTTTGCGAATAAAATGGCTGCCACAACTGTCAAAAACGTTATTGTGAATCGGATGAATCACGGAACCACATAACATATCTAGCGTCATTTTTCATTTACAATGGTTTTTAATATGGAAACCTGGATAATTTTCAATTATATTAGTTTTTCAGTTATATTCCTCTTGAAACTATCGAAACACCCGCATGCACACAAAAGTACATAATATAGAGCAAAAATGTTTTTCATCTTGTTTCTATTTGAAAATGTTAGAGACCGGATTGGAAACTTCCTGAGGAAACAAAACGTAAAATCAATATTCAGGTTAACAAAAAAAATCAGTGAAAGTCCGAAGTCAGCTTTTAGGCTTTTCGCAAAAATCGACGGCTTCAAACCTGATAATTTTGACAAATTATGTTTGATTGTAAAGAATGGCATTCAAACCAATTGAGGCAAATGAATATATGTACTTCTTCAACTAGCTCTGTGTATTCGTATTCATTGATACATTCAAAAATGATTGTATATCAAATAAAAATTTACCATAGATTTGTAAATTTCGAATATATCTCAAATTTTGTTGGCGTTGGCAACGTGGCAACCCTGTTTTCTCTGTTGTCTGTTGTCCACTGCCCTTCTCCCCTCTCAGTAAGCATAAGAGTAAACTTCAACCAAGTAGGTTAGATATACAGAGATGAAATATGATTGTCAGTAAATTATGATAATGGAAAGGAAAATAAAATTAAAAACGCTCAATAGTCACATAACTTGTAAAATATGTAGAGGCTATCTTATTGATGCTACAACTGTTACAGAATGTTTGCATACCTGTAAGTGTTCATTATTGTTGGTTAAGTTTTATTTGTACATCATTACATTACTTACTGAAACTTGTTCTAATAAAAGCATAACTTTCATTTTCAGTTTGCAAAAGTTGCTTAGTAAAACATTTGGAAGAGAACAACACATGTCCAACATGCAACATTGTGATACACCAGTCACATCCTTTGCAATATATCAGTTTTGATAGAACTATGCAGGATATTGTTTATAAACTTGTACCAGACCTGCAGAGAGGTAAGTAAAAAATCTTAAAAGAACATTTTGAATAATGTTCTGTTACTGGGAATTTCTACAAAGTTGAAACGTTAAAAAAAGAATTTTAACATTTGATATTCTTAAAAAATTTGCTTGGTTTTGATGAAACATAGAGAGCATTTTGAATCGAAATATTGTAATATCACTTTCTGATAAATTTGAATTAGTTTTCCATAACATAGAACTTCAATGCAGCATAGGACATTAGGTAAAAATATTTTGAAGAAAAACATGCTGAACTGAACAAAAAAATGAAACTGATTTCTGTTCAAAACAAATATTAGCAGAGAGTATTCCAATTTAATAATATTTTAAAACTGCTACAGGCTTTGGTGGAGTTTTTCATCATTACATGGCAAACACGTTGTTCAAAATCTCTTGTTATATCAACTTTCCAGAGGTTGTCAGTAATATTGGTTTCAAGATTAAGTAAAGAGGCACCAGGAATGGTATAACTGCTTTCTCTGAAAATCTTCACCTAAACAGTCCACTGTGAAGACATGAGAGTGGCAAATGATTATAAATCATTTTTGTTGTTTTTATAAATTACTGTAAACCCATATACATATGCATCATGGGGATGGGGATTTGTTATTGGATAATTGTACCTCAGAATATCTAATGTACTATTTTTAAAACTGTAAAGAGGTGAACCTGTTTTCAAAGAAATAAGTAAATGAATAATAATAATTTATAAACCATTTTGTTACAAAAATGTACATATGTTAGGTGAGTCACTATTATTTGAATTGTAATAAATAAATGCATAGATATTTAAACCAATAACAATGATCCTTATTATATTGGAAAGAATTGATTGAAAGAGCCTTATGTTTACCTAAAAACAAAGCAAATGTCAAAAATAAATATGGTTGAAAAATATATTTGTGAGATTAGATTGAAGATTTCAGAATTAATCGCTCAGTAACTCTTGATAGTTCTAGTAAGTGTTTGTTGAAAAGAAATGATTTCAGTTTAGTATAGAAATTCATGTTGCCAATAATACATTCAAGGAAGTCTAGCATTTGTTCAAAAGAAATGATTTCAGTTAAGCATAAAAATTTATGTCACTAGTATTATCATTGGGGAAGTCTGGGAATTTGTTCAAAATAAATGAAGATTCAAAATGAGACATTTTTATCTTGATAGGAAGAATTGGAACCTTTGGCACAAAATGAATAAATTTAAAACATTTTTTCCATACCAGATCAAAAGTACTGACTTTTGAAATGTGTTTCGTTAACAGTGTTAGCATCATCAGGAAATGAATAAAACTAAATTGTACAGCTATGAATATTACTGGAGTTTTTTCCCAACACCAAACCATTATTTTAACACCTCGACACGTGTTTCGATCACCAAGTGATCATCTTCAAGAGGAAGTTCTGTTAATGCATTTAATGTATAGCTGAATGCACCATCACCTTACATAATGAAGGACATTGAGTGTGTGTGTGTCATTAAATTAGTTCCTAGTATTACTTATTGTTTTATTTTGTTTTTGTGTTCTAATTCCAATTTATATGGTATTGAATACCTGTTAATATCTACCTGATTTCAACCCGCAATTTTTACATAAGAGAGTGGACAACAGGATGTTCGGATTGGTATCTTTGTCGCTGTCTATATATTCCACATTTTTCCATTTCTAAATTTTCAAAGGCATTACATTTTTGAAATTCAATAACAAAATGAGACAGTGATTAATACTAGTAATTAATGTAATGACACTCATTTGATATTCCTCATTATGTAAGGTGATGGTTGATTCAGATGTATATAAAAAGCACTAACTCAGCTGTAAGATTTAGTTTTAGTCATCTGATGGTTCTAACTTGGTTAGCGATACTCATGTCGAGCGTCAGTACTTTTGTTCTGGTGTGGGAACAGTTTGCAATAGAAACATTTTATGCTTTCATGGTTGCATGAGATTGCCATGACGAGCAACGAATACTTTTTGTCATAGTTCGTTAAATTGGCTCTAGCAAACTTCATACATTACATATAATGAAGTGCACATGCATCAATCGAGCAGTTAAAGTATGAAGAAAATAATAACTTTATCCATAATTGAGTGGATAACAATACCTCTTTTTTTGCTGGACTTTGAAAAGTGAATTTTTGCTGGATGTAGGTGTACTCCTCCTCTGGACTCATAGATTTTGGGCCTAATCAATCCGATCATGGTCCTTTTCTGTATGGTGGATTGTCTTAAGGTGGTCTAACCCACAGGACAGGATCCTCGAAGTATAATTGTACTTCTCCTTGCCAACGTAAAAGGTCGACCTTTATCTCATCTACAGTATCCACCTGGGAGACACGACCAGTCTTTGTGTCAAGTCTAGAGAATGAAATAGAGACAAAGAGATTTTAGTAGTTATTCAAAAACAGACGATATTTTGCTAGCATCTTCTGATGAAAATATTGATATTGTTGTAAATAAGTTGAATAAAGTTTTTAAAAAAGGTTAACCAACATTGAATAGGCAATTAACTGAATGATTTCAAATTATAGGCAATGATCATCATAACAAAGTACAAATTGAATAAATTAAACTTGATAAAACTCCATCATATTGGTAAGGATAGAGATGAAATTACTAATATTGTTTCAAGTATGGTTTTATGTTTTCAACTAGACATTAACTCATTCAATAATTATACTATACTTTTTTTGCGTATCTTCCATTCTCTCTCAGTTCTGTCTAAAATAACTGGCATTAAGTACTAATATATCAGCTGTAGATTCTTCAAAAATGAGGAATGGGGGTACTTTTATATTGTAATAGGATGACACCTATATCATTTACATTAAATTCTCTTCAAGATCAATAGAAATTTCATAAACTACACCTCTCGATTTGATCTCCACAAACTCCACAAAGTTTGTGAAGATCAAATCGTGTAGTGTAGTTTATGAAACTCTTCAATGGGTGTTTGTCTCTCAGAGATTGTTCCACTCAACAATGACATTCATTTTTAAAACCTGGCTCCGACATATTTCAGTGACTATGTTATCTATTATTCGGGTATTCATCACTACAAGTATTCAACTTCGTATTCACAAAATTCTTCAAAAGATTCGGTGAGTTCAATAAACCCATAGTACCAGTAGTCAGAGTCTTTCTATATTACAAAATTTTGACGTTTTGTCCTCTGACTCACCTTCTGAAAATATAATGTTATAATTCTGTATATATACTTGTTGGATGATATTAGATCAAAGTTAACGATACTATAGTTGACAAAGCTTCAATATATTTGAATGCTGCCTTTATTTTTTTAATATTCAAGCGGGGTTCAATTATATGAAATGAATAGATAAGTAAATCCTCTATTAGTTTTTGAATAGGTATTAGACAGACTTGTAATTGCAACCTTTTCAACACCTGGTATCACATTCACAAATTGATCTAGGAAATGAATCGTATTTTGTCAAATGCTGCCAGGTATTGCAATAATAATTGTCATAAATAGATCTTTCTTCATTTCAATAGGTGTATTTAATTTGACTTATGGACTGTCTTATGATGATGTTAAAAATTGTGAACTTAAATATCTTAATGGGTTCATTGATGTAGGCATACTTTATATAGATGGCAAAGCACATCTCACTTCTTTTAGATGAAATAAACCGTGAAAAGGAGTTTTATCGTCAGCGGGGTTTACCGAATCCAAAAGATGTTCAACTTACGAATGGCGAACTACGTGGAGATGAAAATCATGCAGATCCTTCTCATGCTGAAAGTGATTATCACAGACAAGATGAACAAGTGAATGTGTGTTTAGAATGTATCAGTTCAAATTTGAAGACATTGAAACGTAGGTTTATTCGATGCTCTGCTCAAGCAACCATATTACACTTAAAAAAATTTGTTGCCAAGAAAGTATTGAATGGAATGGAGAAGTATCGAGATGTAAGTAACATTTTTATATTGTTAACAAGAACGAGAGGATCTGAGAGAGTCCCAGCATTTTATGTCAGTCAGAAAGTTAGAATATGCTTTATTATCAAGATTTTCCTTGTGGACAAGTTTAGAGAGCTAAAAATCTAAAAATAAAAATAATCAATATATATTTTGTGTTTTATACATACATGGTGGGACACTAGCAGGTTGGGTTACTGTGAGCGGTTCGTTCTACTCATTCAGTTGATCGCTATGTGGAACGGAGGTTCGAGCGCCCTACGGCCGGGTTATTGATTTTCACTGCGTATTGTCCAACCTGTGCTAGGAATCGCACATTTTAAGGTAAGAACTCAGTAATCCTTACCTCGCACAAGTTTCTACTTTTGAGGGTTGCCTTTCGTAGGAGGGCGACAGCTGGTTAACGGAAAAATACCAGATATCAATAACATTTTAGTTCAACTGAAATTACCACTGTTCAAGTCAGTCACTCGAGTCGAATATTATTTTCACAAGAGACTTTAGTTATTTACGTTATCGAATATAAAGTTTGAACATGATGAATTTAATTTAATACAATACCTAAAAATGTATATTGATCTTCCAAGAGGATAACATATACATTATTAGGTTCAAAAACATGCAGAGAAAGTTCCTTAAGTATTTGGTTTTCAAAGTTGACGGGACATATCTACAGCGGGGGTCCGATTATCAGTTGATGATGGGCACATTCAACATCGAAAGTTTGGAATTAAGAAGATGCTCAACAATTTTATCGTGTTCTGATTTCCTAAGTTAGCTAAATTTCTAGGTAATACAGTTCGGTAGCAGGAATAGTTGAACATTTTATAATTCTTGGCTGAGAACAAACTGTTTATAAATTATGTTAGCAAAATTAAAATCCTGTACATCAAGCGCTCAATCACTTGTGCTTTTCTATCATTTCCTATTTGTCAGATGTCTAATAAATAAATAGTTTTGTGCTGAATATCGAAGGAATCGCATGTGTTTTATTTCACTCTGCATAACACAAATGTTCTCACAAAATCACCAATCAGCAAAATGTATAATAATTTTAATAGGATTTGTTATACTTGTAATTTATTTTACGATATCTTGAAGCAAATTGAACAAGTGATAATTTTATCGTTTTCATTTCTCTGTACTTAAAGTCATCTTATTTTTGTAGTAATACTGTTTTTCAATATTTGTCATTTTCATATTGCTTGAAAAGGTATACTCTAGGGCACACTAAATGCAATTATTATTCTTATTTTAAGACACATAACGAAACATAGTAACTCGAATTTGATAATTATGTATGGAAAAAAGTAAATGATAAATTATAAGACATTCTATGAAAACACTTTTTTGAAATAACTGTCATCCTTGAAGGTGAATGTTTCCTATTCAAATCTTATATATTCATCTTTCTACCACACTCAGTGTGGTAGAAACAGACACAGACACCTTTCCTTATAAAAAAAAAAATATGTTTCAATCTACAAATGTGTTGATCTGTCTAATTATCAACTTGAATACTTTAATTCTGTCATTCATGAAATAATGGAAAAGTTGGCTAAAATAGGTCTAACCAACCTTGGAGCATTAGTTATATTATAAGCTCAAAACAATTTGAATTTCCAACAGAAAAATACCCATGATGCCATATTTTCATTTTTGTATGAAGTGTATTATTAATAAACATAACATTTATAAAGGGGAGCTGACAGTTTTCTGAGATTTCTCCAGGGCTTTTCACTGTGTAAACCGTGATGTTCTGTAGAGAAAAATTCGTCACCATGGTACTGAGGGGGCTTAGTCAAAAATGGTGCAGAAGTAAGATGGTTAAATCTTCAACATTATCTGAAATCATGTATGAATATCTCCATGTGTAGTTCTTCCTCCTAGTTCCCCACACAAATCATTCACAAGTATCAGAAAGACATATGAAGTTAAGTTAGATCTCTGAGGAACTCCCGAAAAAACGGAATAACTATAAGAAACAAATCCATTATACGAAATGTATTGCTTTTTATTAGTTGAAGTTAAGTCTCCTGAATCATCAATGAAACCTATAGCATAATTATTTTGTTAAATGTTAGAATCCACTTAAATATATTGTACTATGGTAAACCAATTTGTTGTAAATCTAAAACAAGCATTGCCCCCAAACAACTACTCGACGAGCGATGAACTAGACCAAAAGTTCCAGTTCTACCTACAACATTTTTTGTACTTGAATCATTGTTTCTCGTGCATATTAACGACATTGCTGATCTAAATAACTTTCATGGCCACATAGTATCATAGGCAGGTGGTACTGCTATTGTGTTTATAAATGATACATGGGGAAAAGTATATGAATGTACTAAATTAAGCCTCTCTCACATCCACAGTTGGTTGAAAGAAGAGTAATTTCATCACTTTCTCTCTAACTAGTGAAAACCAACCTACAGAAAGATATATTTAGGTATATAGTTATTTTTGTGATGAAATATGCCTCAGAGGTTGCCCACAGATTGAAAAAATTAATAAACTAAAGTATCTTGGTGTGATGGTGGATCAACACCTATTTATAACTCATTAGCTGAGACAATTTTAAAATATTGCATTGTAATATGGGAAGGTCTATACCACAACGCTCAAAAATAATTGCCAATTACTCAAAATTGTTTGCTAAGAATACTTATTAAAAAGGACAGATTATATAATGCAAAAAGTCTGTATAAGAAATTCAAGCAACAAAATATCGAAAACTTATTTGCATATCATTACCTACTATACACCAACTGTTCCAGTCTCATTTAAACTCATTTTATTTTGTATCACACTGTATGTATTAATATTGACACCTTCGAGTATCGGGCGTGTGTGTGTGGTACCATAGATCGAGGGACTTACCGCCTCTCTGAACAGTGTTGAAAAATCTGCCGGCGCAACTACATATAGCTCAACCCACCAAGGTATGTTATAAAGGTACAATACAGTGATATTATTTCTAATGTATAAAGTCTCATTAACATTAATATATACAGTCTGCTAATATTGAAAAACACCACAATGTCCATTGCTAATCCGCTTAAACACTATGTTACCCGATCCATAGAAAACAAATCTATTGATTTGCCGATTTTCAAGAAAAATCACTTACAAAGATTTGTTTTTTTCATTGGCCCTAAACTTTATAATTCACTACCTTCAAAAGTAAAATGAAGGAGCTCATAGAGTCAGATGAAATTGAAGCTGATCTTTATCTATAAATTTAAAAAACAATTGAATATTTCATATTGAAATCTGAAAATCGTCACTTTACTTCAAAACAAATATTATTAATCACTATTATGCAGTGACGGCTCGTGCATTGGAGAACAGGGGAGGCTATATATACACACAGAAAAGCCCTCCGGAGGCGCGCAAATTTTTATGTTGTTGCACGCTTTGCTTAATACTGAAGTTAGGGCATGGCCATGACAATGCGTAAAAAGTGCATGAGGAGCTATGGACTTTATTTCACTTTGTAAACCATTTAAATGGTCGGCCATGACTGCAGCTCCATCATAGGTTTGCGCAATTAACTTTTGCCTAAAATTATGTGTGTCACACGTACGAATTAAAAAATCAAACAAATCGTCAGCTGTGCGCTCAGATCTCCTTGCTTATATTTTCCTTAATAATATATGCCACACTGTCTATAAGCTCATTTTGGATGGTTTTTGAGGTGCCCGAAAAAACGCTAACGTTTAAAAAAAATGGGGAGGCTAAGCCTCCCTTGCCTCCTCTGACGAGCCGCCGCTGCTATTATGATGTTATTCTGAAAATAATGTTGAGCTGTTGATACCTGAAATCTTAACTAACTATCAAATACTTATCTCGTATTAATTTCTGTACCTCTTCGCTTTACTCTAAAATCAATCGTCTTATTCATAAACTGTATGAACTCTGGATGATCATAAAGAAGTGCAAAAGAAAAGCATTCTATACTTGTGATGCACAAGCATTCTATGCTTAGTTTGTATTCTTACTGATCGAAGGAATACAATGATATTTAGGTACATGTATTGGAAACGGACACGTTTTTTGTAATATTCTATTTAATGCATAGTATTTTACTAACTTTTTTTATAAAAAAAAACTCTTGATAAAACCATGCTGGAACTGAGTTATAGTATTACATACAGTAGTGAAAATTCGAGTCTTAGCAAATCTTGGCAAAATAACAAAGCATCAAAATCAGGGCTGTAGCTAGAGTCGAATTTGAGGTAGGGCAGCATTGGTTACCAATAGGGCGGAAGTAAAAAATTTATTATAATTGATCTGCTCTCGAAGCACGGGCTCTTAAATCAATCACCATGTACATCACTGACTGTCAGTGATGTACATTCAATAGCTATTCGTAGACAAATAATTTATGTGACAGATCATGAGCATGGATCCAAGAACTATTAAATCCTCAATGATAAAGAACAAGCGAACAATATGGTTGAACTTCCAGATTTGGATGTAGAGATTCATGTCTGAATGAGAGTGAGGTAATAATTAATTGTTGGGTGGGGTGATACGAGTAAATAGATACAACTAAAAATACCATTTAGATTATATTGTTTCTGCAAACTTATTATAATAATAAAAATATTCAAAACAGCTGAATTTTACGATTCGCCATGTTATTAAAAATGTGCAGAACTTCCTTCAGATCAACTGATTTTGTTCTTTTTTTTACAAAGGCCAGAAATACCATACCAGCCATTCTATCGTTACCCATTGACAGCCTTTGAGGGCTATTAATTGCAGTTAAACTTGAAAATGTAGATTCGCACACTGCAGTGCTACATCGTATGGTCGCCATAGATGCGAAAAGTTCATATGTATATTTGAACGCCTCTCGTTGCCTGTTCAGAACTTGCAATGTATTTTCTATTTTATTCTCTTTACGATTCAAGTAACTTTAACCACACTAGCCTCTTCCCCCGATGGAATTTTCAGACCTGAAAATTGTTAAATTTGTAAATTGAACATGACTAATTATTTTAATTATTAAATTTTTCCAAACTTACCCTAACTTTTTAGTCGAACCATTTAATCAACATTCAACTCATCGAGACTTGCCATCGAATTGATTAGATCATCGTTGTCCGAAAACCTTCTTTGTAATTCAGCAATTA